CGGGCTCCGCACCGAGGGCTCAGGCTGGGGCCGGGGGCACCTCCGTGGGCTCCGCAGGGCCGCACGCGCTCACACACCTGGGACGGGGTGAGTGAGCAGCGGCATTTAAACGAAGTTAAACATCTCAGACTTTACCCAAATATTATCAGGATGAAAGTGGGTTTTACAGACTATTCCACAAAGAAACATCTACACCCTGAAGGCCAGGGGTTCAAACCACGGCAGACATCGACAACCCCACGAATTCCGAGGCTGCTCACTTTCCAGGCAAACAGACCACACGGCACCGCGAGGCGCTGGGGAGGCTGGGCCGGGCCGGGCGCCCTCCACAAGCTGCAGGCCCCCCCAGGAGCCAGGGGCTGAGACTGGCTGGGAGAGCGAGATGCTGTTCCACCGGAAAAGAGCGCAAAGAGCGCAATACACAACGAGTCATAGGCTTCAGGGAGGCCTCCAGAAAGCATCAGGAAGGAAACAAAAGCGATACAAAGAACACAAAACCTGGAGCAGCCCCTGAAAACACTCGGCTCGAGGCTGCCTCATTCTGGACCTGCTCTGAGGGCCCCGGCCTGGCATCTAGCTGAGCTAAACGACTTCTTCCTCTCCTGCCTCATGCTGGTGACTTGCCCAGAGCTCAGGACTGCCAGCCCACTGCACAGCCACCGTCCTCACAGCCCCAGGGCTGGCAGCCACCATGTCTGTTCTTCTAGGACATGGTCCTTGGTGACCCTGCCCCACGACACCTCTGACCTCGGTAGAGATAGCCCTCCATCCTGATGGGAAAAAGGATGCCACGAATGGAACTGACAATCTCCCCAAATGATGAAGACTCTAAAGCGAACACAGACAGAAAAACAGGAAATGGCATTTCTTTAATTCATGTATGACACACACAAGAAGTAAGCCTCTAAGTGCACATCTTCGGACACGGGTCAGCACAATTTCGACTTGTCTCCTAGCAGCAAGGCCCTAGCTCCCTCTCCTGTGTGCTGTCTGTGTTTTTCCTTTGTTCCTTATGAAACCAACACTATGAAATCTCTGCAGACTGACCGACTTGGCACCTGAAGCTCTGCTGCCTAGATGCCACACCTTGGCACAGCAGGCACCACTCCTGTGACAGCCCCATTTCTCCCTCCTTCCCACCAAACAAAAGGACTCCTGGTTCTTATAGATCCCCGATGCCTGGAAAAAACTTTCTCCACCTCAGCATATCCAAACCTGCCATAGGCAAGGCCAGGGGCAAATGCCGCCTCCTTCCTGAGCCCACTGCGGTACCCCAGTGAGAAGTCATTTCTCCTCCTCTGAAAAGTGGCACTACTGGCACCCTACTCCTTTTAGGGTCACCCCTTCCCTTTGCGTAGTTACCCTGCATGCTGCCTCTCACGCTCCACGCTGGGCTCAGCCACAGTGCCATTCAGGGACTTGCTTGCCACACACAGTCCCCACACAGCCTTCTGTTGTCACCTCTCCTGCCACATAAAGCACCATCTTGGTTTTCAAGAGAGCCAGACTCTGAGGGGTGTGTACTGAGGAAGGGGAGCATGACAAGGGAAGGCATGTGTGCGGAGCTAAGGGCACCAGAAGGAGTCGGAGGCCTCACTTGCTGCCTGTCCCTTAAGTCACTCCAACATCGAACCTCAGCTGCTAAAGCCAAAGCCAGGAAGAGACACTCTCATCTCCATCACTGTAAACCAACCAGTGGAAAGTGCACACACAACGGACACCAGCGACCTCCCCACGCTCCTGCTGAGACGCCCGCGACCTCGACCGAGTGAGGCCCGCTGCATGGGAGGCCTGCTGAGAGCACCTGGAAAGGCAGCTCTTCTGAAAGCGAGTCGGGACATCCCCAGGGGATGTGCTAAAGAGAACCACGCCAGCTGGTCAGGGACGAGAGAATGCTCTGGCTCCAACCACCTGGCTCCAACCACAGCGATGAAATGACCACTTCACACGGCTCCCCACCCAAACGTTTACTGAGGACCCCCTAAATGCGAGCTGGTGTGAGAATACAAAAGGAACGAGAAGAAAGTTGTGATCTTGTGAATCGTAGTAAATATATATTTTTGGTCTTTGTCCCCGAACCCTAATTTCCTAAGAGTAATGGAATTGTCTTGTTACAATATGGGGCCTTTTGTCCTCAGGTGCTGAAGTTGATTCAGAGCCAAGAAGGTGAAATGGGTGTTCACAAGCCCCTTTCAACCGCACCTGGCTTTATGTTAATGAACTTAAATCCTCTAAGGATGGGAGCTGGTTGCCAGGGGAGCCAACCAGGATTAGAGGGTTGGAGTCTCCCTAAAAACCCAACAGGAGGGGGCTCAGAGAGTTTCCAGACTGGGGAACCAGAAAGCCAGCCAGGCCCAGGGCCCAAACTCCACGGCACTGATGCTCTCGTTAGGGACCCTCCAGCCCTTGGCCTCCTCGTCTCTTCCCCTGGCTGCCCGATCGTACCCTTTCACATCCTCTCAACAAACTGGGGCGCTCGAATCTTAACCGCTTTACAGAGTTCCGGGAGCCGCTCAAGCACGATTCCAATCTGAGGAGAGCATCATGGAGACCTCCACTTTACAGCCCGAGGGTCAGAAGCAGAGGTGACAACCTGATTTGGCATCTCAAGTGGGGGCAGTTTTGTGGGACTGAACCCCAGACTATAGGATCTGGTACCACGTCCAGGTGATGTGTCACAACTAACTCAAATTTGTGGGACATCCAGTCAGTGTCTGTGGAAAACTGGAGAACTGCTAAGTGGTGTTGGAAAAAAACACATATCACAGAAGTTATTAACGTTGTTGAGCGCCTGCCATGAGCAAGGTGTCATACGTGATGTGCATTTCTCAGCTACATAAATGTTTGTCACTGAAAAACACATGGACAGAATTTTACCAAATGTCCAGAATATACTTAAGTGTCACTTAAAGCCTACATGGTACATGGGATCGGATTTACTGGCTGCAAGAGGACCCTGAGAAGCAAGCCTGGGAGTAAAAAGGTTGAAGCAGCATTTGTCTCCAAATAGAAGTAACTCTGCGACATACTGTTACGTAAAAACGGCCAAGTACAGGACAGAACGTAACTAAAAAACGGGTGGTGTCAGCAATGACACCTAAGTGCTGCTTGTACACGCCCAAAGTGCCAGTGAGAAAAACAAGAAACCGTCGCCACTGGGTCCCCCCCGGCGTGCCCTGAGCCGCATGACCCGACCCGACCTCCCCGGTCCCCCCAGCGACCAGCCGATCGCGCAGGGGAGGCCGCCCGGCCGCGCTCGCCGTCCCCGAACGCCACTGGCCACCGCGGCGACAATGCCGCGGCCCGAGCCCCGACCCGCGGGTGCTACCCAGACGAACCGAGGCTGGCGGGCCCAGGCCCGCTCACCTCCTGGGCCCCAGAGTCCGAGTGCGCGAACGGCGGGCCGAGCCCACAGTGCCATGTTCGCCACAGCCGCACGCGGCGTCGTCCCCGGGGGTCACGTGCTCGCCCCGCCCCTCGCCCCGCCCCCACGGGTGGGAGGGGCCACGGACGCCAGGCGGGGGCGGTTCCCCAGTGCACTGCAGTCCCGCTTCGCACCCGGGACGCCAGACCAGGGCCCTGCATTTCGCTGCCCCGCGCTCCCAGCCCCTTTTGGTCGGGGCGGTGACGACGGACACTGTGAGCGCTTACATGATCCGGCATCTCACACTTAGTCCTGGGGTACTATTATCGTCGTCCGCTCTGGAGATGAGAAACTGCGGGTCCCACAGGCCAAGGCCACACGGCCAGGCGACGGCGCGGTCGACCCCCGGCGACCGTACGCTGCAACGCCTCAGTGGCCCTGCCCGGTGCGCGGGAAACCCAGACCAGCCGGCACAGAACTTCGTCCCGAGCGCGCAGGCGCGGTTACCCGGACGACCGCCGGGCGCCCGGGCCGCTGGGGCGCTCCCGGCATGCCCCGCGTGTCGCGGCGCCGGAAGTGAGTGAGCACTTCCGGCGGCGCGGATTTCTCAGTGGTGCCGCTGTCCGGGGATCTTTCTGCCGAAATGAAGGACGTTCCCGGCTTCCTGCAGCAGAGCCAGAGCTCCGGGCCCGGCCAGGCCGCCGTGTGGCACCGCCTGGAGGAGCTCTACACGAAGAAGTGAGCGCCAAACCGAGGGGACCCGGCGACAGGAGAGCGGGAGACTGGGGGAGGGGCGGGACCTTGATGGGCCGAGGGCACTTGGACCTGTTGCGGGGGACAGTGCGGAGGACAGGCTGGGCGGGGGAGGTGGGCGGTGTAACCCGGAAGGGCAGGGCAGAGGAGGAAGAGGGGTGACGGCCCACGAGGACCGAGGAGCAGAGCCGTAGACAGGATTCGGGGGTCCGGGGTTTAACTGCCCCCCCCCCGACCGAGAGACGGTGGCCGAGCTTCTGAACTCCCCTTCCTTCCGGTCTTAGAAAAAGGATTCGGGGCTGGCCTGTGATTTTAGCTGCACACATTCTCGGAGTCAGGTTCCATCCATTTTGGATAACAGATCCTGGTGTCTTGTACTTATCCTTGTCATACTGTGACCGCTATCTTTGTCAGCGGTCTGGAACAGACAAACCAGAGGCCAGAGAACTTTTCCGCGTCGATTGCGTCACCGGTTACACGCTGGGTACGACCACTTTTCCCCTCTCCCATGGTCCCGACTTACCATTGTATTTCGTATTGGGCTTTGTGCCTCTAGAGAGATCGCAGCTTGGGTTTGTTTAGAAATAGGATGAATTTCAGAATGATTAAACTGTCCGTTGCTAAGCACCAACCTCCTTTTAAATGAACAAATTGTTGGGACTGGGCTGGCATTGTTCCCGAGGCGAATACAACTCCTGTTACAACCTCCCAGTTAACAGCCCTCGCGTTTAGCGTAGCGCCTTCACACAGATATTCATTCAATACATGTTTTGATGATACTAAGGATTTGGGGAGAAAATTCTTAGTGTTTGGCAAATAATTGCTTCTTTTGGGTAGCACTTTGTATTGTTCAAAGTGTTTTATTTGCTTCCTTAAAAACTGGCCTTTAGTTTTAATGTGATGTCATTCTAGAGGTTTTATGTATTCACTCGACATTCACAGATGAGGAAACTGAAGCTCAGTTTAAGTTCTTTCCCTGAGATACTCAGCTAATAAGTAGAAGAGCCAAGATTTCACCTTGAACATGTATGACTATTCCAAAGTTGTGCTTTCTAGTCGAACCTTAGAATAACCTATTGAGGTAGTCTAGAAAGGTGTTCTCTGTTTTTAGCTGAGGAAATGAGTGATCTCAAGGTAACATAACCATTGAGTAGCAGAGCCAAGAAATGAACTCGGGTTTATTAGCATCTGCTTTAGCGTTCTTCTGTTACACAGTGGAGATTGGTGAGTATTTGTTATTTGTTATTTGATAGGACCATCAAGGCTGAAGATGTCTGTGACTGGAAATTAGTTTATAGGTCTTAAGGGCCTTCTGTTTTTCAGGTTGTGGCATCAGCTGACACTTCAGGTTCTTGATTTTGTGCAGGACCCGTGCTTTGCCCAAGGAGATGGTCTCATTAAGGTAAATGATTTGTAATCACAGGTCAGATTATATATGTGTGCCCAAGGAATTTTTAAAATAATGCTTGGGATTTGTAATAACACGCTACACCTATTTAGCAATCACTTGACGTCGGATACTGTTTTAAGTGCTATACATATTTACTTATCGAATCTTCATAACAACATTGGGAGGTAAGTACTACTGTCATCCTATTTTTTTTAATGTAGAAGCGGACACCAGGAGATTAAGTAACTTGCCATAGGTCACAGCTAATAAGTGGCAGAAGAGGATTCATACAGATGTTCAGACTTTCTCTGAAATCCCAGCCTAAAACACTGTTTATGGCACCTCTTATAGCTTGTTGTTTATAGACTTTTTCTTCTAAGCGTTGTACTCTTGAAAACTGTTATTCAGAAATTGAAAATTCCGAACCAGTTAGGGGGTAGGGTAGGGTACCTAGGAGGATTACCATAAGGGCCCTTTAAATGCCTGCAATCGCTCTTCCTCACCAACTCTGCTCACTTGCCCAGACCTTTGTCCTGGGGAGCGTGGAGGAAAGAGCACCTTTTGTGCTTTACTTGGGAGCAGGGGGGCATGCTACCCCTGAAAAAGAGCACTTCTAGAGTTTTGTCAACATTAAAACAACCACTCTGCCCCAGCCTTTCCCAGATCCCCCAACAAACCCCCAAGAATTTGTAACCTCTTTGAGGTCTTTCCTGATGTCTTTCTCTTTGATACCTTTCTCTTGGATTCTGAATGAATCAGAGATTATAGGTGCATGGGAACTGAAAGCTGGTCCATAATGATAGCCTGAGTTATTTACCCTGCACAGTGCTCACAGTGAAGCTTACCACCTGATTTCCCCACCCCTGGGCTCCTAAGATTTTCCTATAGTTTATATCCATCAGTTTGACATTTTACTACTCAAAGGAACTTGTAGTCATCTGTAAGCCTGGAGATTTTGCTGGGTATTCTGTCTTCTGGATTATGAGCAGAGATGATCAATTAGAGCTGCCTTAATATTTGCTCTCTAAGGTCTATATTATAGTGATGGATATTTTATAATTGTTTGTTTTTATCCTATTTTTTTTTTTTTTAAACAGTTTCTACACATAGTAAAATATTTCCTGAACCTCATGGTAATGTGACACTTATTTGGGTCGGCAAATTGAAGTTTACTATTTCCATGGACAAAAACCTTTAAAAATTGTTGATAACCCAGCCCACGTAACTTTCAGATAGTATTCATGAATTTGCAGCCACCAGAAGTAATTTTGAGTTTCTAGATTTAACAGACTTTCTTTAGAGGGCTCTTTTCTTGAGGTACCACTATGAATTATAATTGGTGTCAACAATGTTGAAACGTTTCCTCTTACTGAGTTAAATCCCTTTGAAGTAGTCCTTTGTAATGATAGACCATGTATTTCCATGGCCTTTGCTGGGTGACAAAATTTAAATATCTAACTGGCTGCTACAGAGACATTTCTTGTTTTCTTTTTTCCCAAAGTTTTAGAGAGAAATAATTGCTATATAACATTGTTTTAGTTTAAGGTTTACAGTTTAATGATCTGACACGTTAACACTGCTCACCTCACTTAGTTACAATTTTTCTTTCTTGTGAGGAGAACTTCTAAAACCTGCTCTCCTAGAAGCTTTCAAACAGGCAATACACATTGTTAACTAGAGTCATCACGTTCTGGGTGGTTACTAATATTATAATGAGAAGTTTGTACCTTTTAACCACCTTTGACCATTTCTCACACGCACATGCACACCCCGCCCCCCTGCCTCTGGCAAACATTACTGTGTTCTCTGTATCTACAAGTTTTTTTGGTTTTTTTTTTTGAGATCATATGGTATCTGTTTTTCTCTTATTTCAGTGAGCATAATGCCCTCGAGGTCCATCCTTGTCGCAAATGGCAGGATTTTCTCCTTTTTTAGGGCTGGATTACATTCACACACGTGTGTGCGCGCACGCGTGCGTGTGTACATACACGCATGTGCCCACCATGCTCTTGCAGGGCCCTTTCCATCTCTCTGTCTTCATCTCCCAGAGCAACTTCAGATTCTCCCGATCCTAAGTTGGCGGTGTCCAGAGGTTCCGTCTCCCACTTTGCCCACCCTGGACACTTCCGTCGCCAGTTACCCAGCCACGAGCTCAGAGGTCACTGTCAGCTCCCCTTCTCTGTGGCCTGTCCACCTCCGATCAAGGCTGGTTCACCTCAGCAGCACTTCTCAGGCTGCTCGTCTGCCCTCACTGCCATTGCTCCCTCCCTCTCCTGTCTTGACCGCTAGTAGCCTGAACTGGTCTCTGTCCCTAAGTCTTTTTCCTCGCTACCCTCTATGCCCCAAGTCATGTCCCTAAAATGGAAGTGTGGCCGTGTGTCTCCACAGCCTCAACTCTGGGACAGAGACCAAGCCCCAGTGCCTGTCAGCCTCTGTGCCCTTCAGCAGTGCTCCGAAGACAGTGCAGTTTTTTCTTCAGTGCTTTCGCACGTTTGTTCCTCTCTAGAATGTTCTCCCAGTGGCCCCTTCTCCCACACCGAGTCTGTTCACTTTAACTGCTATTCATTCTTTAAACTCAGTTGTCACTATTTCTGGAATCACTTTCGAAACCTCTCCCTTTGGCCCATCCACCTGTATGCTTTTCTTCCCCTTACTCTTCAGCTCTCAGTATTGTTATTTATTTGTCTCCAAGTCTGTCTTCTCTACTAGGCCAGGAGCTCAGGAGCGCCACGAAGACTAAGCCGCTTTCCTGCACACCCTTGTCTGTAGTTCCTGGCGCAGGCCCTGGGCGCGTGCCCGAGTGTGCCGAGGGACCGAGACTCCTGTGGCGGGTACAGTAGCCTGCAGGCTGCTCAGACTGCTTGGGTTCCCGGCCTTGCAGGCCGGTGTTCAGTTTTGCTCGGGCACTTGGAGAGAGAGCCTAGGGATTGCTCTTCAGCCAGAAAGAACCTAGCTCTCCCCAGTAACGCACTGTGATTATTTACATCTCCTGTCACTCAGCAGACATCTGTGCAGTGCCACCGAGTGGTGGGTGTCGCAGTAGTGTCTGCAGCCTGGACTTTGCAGAGTGAGAGCGTCTCGTAATGACTCTCCATGTTTTGGCCCCACAGCTCTATGAGAACTTCATCAGTGAGTTTGAACACAGGTAAAGCTCTTTTGTCAGCTTTTGACTTTGACAGTGAAAACACTGGTGCTTGTTGACAGCCAGCGACCAGTGGTTTCGTTTCAGGGTGAACCCTTTGTCCCTGGTGGAGATCATTCTGCACGTGGTCAGACAGATGACTGGTGAGTCCCACGCTGTGTCCAAAGGACTGGGCCAAGTAATGAGAATGATCTTGCCTTCTGACGGAAAGTATTGCATTCTAACTTACATTTTTATTGTATTTTATGTTTTAAACCTAAAAGTTGTCCTGGTTGGTAGAAACCAGTCTGTAAAGATGCTTCGCTGGTATTCTGCTGACTCTGTCCTGCTTTCTTCTCCAGATCCTAACGTGGCTCTCACTTTTCTGGAAAAGACTCGTGAAAAGGTAAGTGACGTTTGAGCCAGACCTTTTAAATAGCAACTCACAGTTTGTGTCTGTGCTCACTGTCCACAGCTCTGGAGACCAGTATCTGCGGGTGGGACTCTGCTAGGGCACCCCGTCTGGCTGTATCAGCCTGCTGCCCACACTTCTCAGGTCCCTGTTCTGGCATCTTCAGGTGAAAAGCAGCGACGAGGCAGTGATCCTGTGTAAGACGGCCATCGGGGCTCTCAAGTTAAACATCGGAGACCTGCAGGTTACAAAGGTGAGGTCGCCGCACCTCAGACATACCTTTGATTCTTTTAAAACTGTAGGGGCAAATCCTGTTCTTTCTCTTTCATTATTTAAAAATAATTTTGAATTATAAAAAGTTGCAAAAATAGTACAGAGTACTCTCATACCCGTACCTTCGGATTCTTATTGTTAACATTCTTTGCGGGGGATCCCCAGCACCATTAAGAGCAAGTGGCTAGTAGGTTACCTGTGTCCTTAACAGAAGAGCAAGACTTACAGGCCACAGCGTGTCTACCCAGCAGGCGTCCACGCAGCCGTCGGCACGTGGGTTCTTGCGACTGACAGGTCACAGGCCGCTCCTCCTCTCTGCGCCCTGATCGCCGAAGTTGCCTGTCTGTGCCGCTCTCACTTGTACTTTGGGGGACGGGTGTGGGTGGCAGTAAGACTCAGTTCACACGGTCAGTTCACATTGTTTGCTAGAGACTACGTGTGTGTGTTTGGGTTTGGGTTTTTTGGTGACCATGACATTAAAGGAAATGTTGGGGTAAATGTTCATGTTCTCATCGCCCTAAAATGTACTTTTTCTTGGTTCTTACTGCATCCCATCTGAGCCCCCATGCATAGTCACTGCATTTGTTTTGAAGTATTTAAGCCATACCAAAAGCTGTAAAATTCTGTCGAGGGTGCATGAGCATCCGGGCGCCCTAGCCGGCCTAGGGACGAAGCAGCACAGAACGGGCAGTGCTGCTGGGCCCCTCAGACCATCCTCCCCCGAGCGCCTGTGCTCCAGCGTGGTGTCACACGTGCCACACGGATAGACATGCATGACTAGATGACGTGGTATTGTTTTAACACACTGGCTGGATGTGAGGGGTGAGGGTGACCAGCTTGTTTTTGCTGTTATGTGCTATTTCTGTGCAGTTATTTCTTAGCCGGTGTGTCCAGTGTCCTCTTAAACGGATTCAGGTAGTTCTTTTCTATTAGGAATAATGCTGTCGTCAGCATTTATGTGCCTGGTTCCTTGTGGACGTGGGCAGAATCTCACCTGGACATAGGCCTGGAGGTGAGACTACAGGTGTATAGCGTGTGCTGTCCACGTCTCCCAGATACTGCCAGAGATCTCTCCCAGGTGTCTCACGCCCCAGCAGCACCTGTGCAGACTCCCGAAGCTGTGTATTTTCAATACTTGCTAGTTTTAGGCCGTTTAATTCTTGCCGATGCAATGGAGGTGAAACGTGCCTCGCATTTCTTGATTACCGCTGGCTTATTGACCTGTTCATGTCTCCACTTCCATAAATTGCCTGTCGATATCTTTTTTTTTGTTTGTCTCCCGTTGATGTGTGAGAGTTTCTTACGTGGCCTGGGTCATAGTCCCTGGTACGTCACCTGTGCCATGACTACCTTTCCCTTTGTTACTTTCTTGTTTTAGGTGAAGCGAAGTTTTCCATTTTAACGTAGTCAAGTTTATTGTGCTGCTCATCTTGTCACATGTTACCTTAAAACGTTAAAGAAAGGCTCCCTCGCTTCCCGTGCGCAGGAGACGATCGAGGCTGTGGAGGACATGCTGCACAGCCTCCCTGGCGTGACGTCCGTTCACAGCCGTTTCTACGACCTGTCCAGCAAATACTACCAGACGGTCGGGAACCACGCGTCCTACTACAAAGACGCCCTGCGGTTCCTGGGCTGTGTCGACATCAGGGACCTGCCAGGTAACACGGGCGTCCAGTCCACATCCCGCAAGGACCTAGCCCTTGAGACACAGCTGCGAGCTGCTTGAGGCAGCAGGTCTGAGAAATCTCTCCAGCGCGTTCATCCCTTTTTGAAGAAATCCTGTGGGTTCGAGGGTGGGAGGGTGGCTCACCCTGTAGTTTCTGCGCTGGATTCATCTCCGGCGTGGAGTCAGGCGAGGATGAGGCTTGCTCCTCGAGCCTCTACTGGTCCTTCTCCACGTCTCGGCTCCTGTCCAGGCCGGAGCCTGGGGGAAGCGCGGTGCCGTCGGGGCGTGCACCTGCAGGACGAGGGGCACAGCAGGGCCCCGCCCGAGACACGCAGGCCCAGGGGATGCATGACACGGGCTCCCCAGGATTTGAGGGTGAGAAGAAAAGTGACCCAGGGAAACGTGCAATGAGCCTGAGTTCAGCAAAGAAACCTCGGCACGTTTTAGACGTTTCTCACAGTCTCCTGCGGGAGCAGAAGGGACCAGTGACCCCTGGAGATGTCAGTGCGGTTTTACCTGCTGCATCTCAAGAAAAATATGCTGGAGAAGCAGCTGACGTGGTCAGGGGCGGGGGAGGGATAGCTGTGCGGGAACAGGAAGCAGTCAAGTCTGGTCTGGAGAGAGGCTAAACGAGGTCCCTACGAGGGGACTCTTTCACAAGAGAGGTGGGGGCACGGGGAGTGGGGCTGAAAATAGAAGGTTCGCGCACGTTCAGGAGAGAACGAGTAAGCAAGTGACTCCCGCAGAACCCAGGCGCGTAGTGCCGGGAGTACTCCGCATCGTCCAGTGTCTGAGAGGCGACAGTGTCAGCGCTCTGTGCGAACACCCCAGGACAGGGTGTCTTCACTCTCAAGACACCCCGTCCCCGGGGGTTCTTGAGGCCGCTGGACCGTCGTAACCACGCGTGTTGGGGATTGTTGCCCTAGCGCCCGAGCAGCGAGAGCGAGCATTCACGCTGGGACTGGCGGGACTTCTTGGTGACGGAGTTTTTAACTTTGGAGAACTCGTAAGTGGACCCGGGGCACAGGTTCTCTTACGGGGCCGCTGTGCGTTCCGTCAGCTGACCGTGCTGTCCTCATAGCTCATGCACCCCGTACTGGAGTCTCTGAGGGGCACTGACCGGCAGTGGCTGATCGACACCCTCTACGCCTTCAACAGTGGCAACGTGGAGAGGTTCCAGACGCTGAAAGCCGCCTGGGGCCAGCAGGTCAGTCCCAGGCGGGCCCTGCACACAGTCACGTGTCCTCTGTTCACTGAGCAGCAGGGACTGAGGCATGCCAGTCTTCTGTCACCGTGGGAGGGTACAGCAGAAACTCCGGTAACATGGTCACCTGTAGCACCCAGTGCTGTGGACAGAACATGACGGGAGCATCATCTGTGCTGGGTAGAGGGGTGTTGCGGGTGTGCGACCTTACAAGTGGGGAGACGTGAGCCCCGTGAAGGGGGTGGGAAGAGCACGTTCAGCAGAGCGAGAGGACGCTTTGGGCTCAAAGCAGCACAGGAGGCCACAGCGATGAGTGACGCAGCGGTGGGGGGGGGCTTGGGGGAGGCGCGTGCAGCAGGGCAGTGGGGAGTGGTCGGTGCCCCCATGCAGGGGATGAGTGCAGCAGGGGGGGTGGTCAGGGCGGGCTAGTGTGGGGTCTGGGGAGGCGGGGCTTAGGGAGGACTTGAGCTTTGACAGGTTTATTCTTTTTTAATTGAAATTATGTTTCTGTTTTTGTATTTTTTGGAACTTAACGTTTTCTCCAAATCCAAAATAAATTTGTAGACTTCACATGTGATGAAGCAGAGTAGGTGTAGATGGACTGTGAAGAGGCAGAAAGGTCCTGCCAAACCTAGCTAGCCTGCGTGTTAGTATCTCAAAGGCAAAGACGTGCCACTCTGGAAGGAAGGTGGCCACTTGGGGAAGAGCCCAAGCTTGGGGAGCGGGCCTGAGGGGAAACGCCCGTGCCAGGCGGCTAGTCTGGCCCGGAGACGCAAACCGTTTGAGTCACATAACACACCCCCCGGGTTTGGTCCTGTGCCCAGCAGGCAGCCTTTCGATCCACCTGCCAGGAGATGGTGCCCGTCACACAGAGGCGCATGGCCCAGTGCTCCTGGCAGCGCTGCTTTTCACTCGACGTTAATGACCAGCTCCTTCACTTCAGAGCAAGTCCCTGGAGCTCGGGCCTGTCCCTCAGAGGCCCCACGTGCACCTGGACCCGCTCAGCCCAGGCCATGCCCTTCCCTGCCTTGCCTTGTGCCAGTCACCCTAAATGCCTGCACCCTATGGTCCTACCCCGTGTTTGTGGCAGTCACACATACCTTGTCAACTCCTTGCCTTGGAAAACGGCTGTTCAGCCAGGCCCTTTTCGAATGAGTTTCTAAGAAAAGTTCAAGTGACTCTTTAAAAGCCAGTCATGATCCCCGGGGCCCGCAGTGCGAGATGCTTGAACCGGCCCAGTTTCCTCTTACGCCATCTGGTGCCGTGAAGAAGTTTCACCGCCCAGGTCAGGTAACAAGTGTCCTTCTGCCTTGTAGCCTGACTTAGCGGCCAACGAAGCCCAGCTTCTGAGGAAAATTCAGCTGTTGTGCCTCATGGAGGTGAGCGACCGCCGGGATGGTTTGTGGTGTGGGGCCCTGCAGATGAGCCTGTGCCCCCGCAGGCTCCCCAGCCTCTGGACACAGCAAATTGGTGGCATTGCTCCTGTCCTAACCCTTCTCCACCACCTCCCTTTTCCTCGGCCACCACGTGCTTTTTCAGTTTTGTATTTCGGTCTCGGCTCAGACGACCTCTCAGAGAGGCACCTGACCATCTGAGCTGAAGCGGCTGCCACTCCACTGGCTGTGGAATCCCTTGTCTTCCCCACTGGAATATAAGATTTCTGAGAAAAGAGACTTGGTGTTTCTGGTCACTGCGGTGTCCGCAGCTGCAAGTCCTTGTTCAGGACACAAATGATGACTGGTAGGAGCTGCTAGGGTACTTACTTTCGGCTAAGTACTGGAAGCTTGTTCTCGGTATGTGACTAGCGTTAAGAAAATTTTAGTGTGGTACTAATATCTATATTTTTAGAGCTGGTGTTGATAAAAAATACTCTTATCAATCAGTTCTGACAATTTTTATTAAGAAAAACTTAAAACTTTTTTCAGATGACTTTCACACGACCTGCCAATCACAGACAACTCACTTTTGAAGAAATTGCCAAAAGTGCTAAAATCAGTGTGAACGAGGTAAGGTTCGTTGGCTCTGGGTGTCACTGTAGCACAGCTGCTCCCCGGGGACGAGGGTTCCCTAGACTCAAAACCACAGAAAGAAACGGCATCTGGCTTCCGGGTGTATCGAGGCCAGCAGGGCCCATGGGTGCGCGGCGGTATCGGGGTCTTACGGTAGCCCTCCGCGCACAGGTGGAGCTGCTGGTGATGAAGGCGCTCTCGGTGGGGCTGGTGAAAGGGAGCATCGACGAGGTGGACGGGCGGGTCCACATGACCTGGGTGCAGCCCCGCGTGCTGGATCTGCAGCAGGTGAGGCCTTCGGAGTGGCTCGCCTTCATGGCATTCGGGTCCTGTCTGCCCCGTCTTAGCTTCCTTTGGCTGGAAGCTACTTAGGAAGAAAGCCTTGTTAGACAGAGGTTTTGGAGAGTGAATTACCGCCGTAGGGTCTAAGGGTTTTTCCAAGAACCTGATTAAATGCACCTGGGATTTGAACCCTATATTTAAACGCTTATGACGACAGCAGTGCTGGTCATGCTGATAATGCCCTTTAATCTGAAAATTGGTACTCTGATCAAATACATTCCTGGTTCCGTGATTTGAGCTCAGACTCATCTCATTCACATTTGCTGGAAATTTAAGCTTGTGGGTTTTCTCTACTCTTGCCTGTTTTCTCACGTGCCATTCTTTAGAGCGTCCTTGTGCTAGGAGTTGCTGGGGGCAGCCCCAGCTCGGACACCCCACTGCCCCAGCTCTGCCGCCCTCATCAGTGCTGCCCCATCGGCCCTGTGTCCCGAGTGTCTAACGCCCATTTGGTCCCGGTTTGCACTCAGATCGCGGGCATGCGGGACCGCCTGGGCTTCTGGTGCAGCGACGTGAAGAGCATGGAGATGCTGGTGGAGCACCAGGCCCACGACATCCTCACTTAGCGCCTGCCTGCGGAGCTGCCTCCTGGCTGACGAAGCTGGCGGCTGGGTCTTCATTTAAGTGGGGTGGGGTGGGGCGGGGATTCTGTTTGGAGTAGGGACTGTTCTTGCTGTGAAAACAGGACTGTCATTGATGGGGGCCTGGTCACATGGAGAAGCCTCCTTGGTGGGTGTCTCCTGTCACCTACACTGGGGAAGAGTCACCGCATCTTAGGTGGTGAGGCAAGCACGTGTGTGGGGACACCCGCTCTAAGGCTGGTTTCTGTCCATCCCCCTGCTGCATGAGCGCTCAGTTCTGTAATAAACGCCTTTGCTTTGTCCCGTCTGGTGGTTTCCTGACTTAGCTTCCAGGTCACGCCTATGCCTGAAGAGGTTGAAAGGCAGGAGGTGGGACCTGGGGACGGCTTGGTGGGGTGAGAAAAGGTGTCCCTGCACGTGGGACTGCGGCCAAGCCGGGCACAGGGCACCAAGGAAGCAGCGCCTGCTTTTACTGTTCCTTCTTCCAGGCGTCTGCCCCCTGCGGCTCCTGTCACGGAGACCTGGCCAGAGCCAGAGCGAGGGCCCGGGGAGGGGGATGCACGGCGCGAAGAATCACCAGGCAAGTGCGTGGGCTGGAGGGAAGCTTTAATGCAGTCTCCTGCCGTGCGGGCAGGGGTGACAGGTGCAGCGTGGTGATCACACAGCCTTCAGGCCACAGACTTTTTGTAGCTTTCTAGGTGGGACAGGACCCAGCCTGCAGGAATCAGGAAGCTGATAAAGATCACCGAGAGCCCCACAGCCTGCTCCTGTGGTGAGGAAGGCACACATGAGTTCACCGGGCTGTTACGAGGTCGGTCCTGGGTCGCTAAGAGAGGCTGGATACCTGCCCCCTCTTGGGTCCTGCAGTGTGAGACTTGGCCCTGACCAGGGCAGCAGTTGAGAGAGAGACGGGCTACCCATCCCTCTGCTCCTGTGGGATGCTGGGCTCAGCCGTGTGTGCCCTCCTGCTTGCCCCAGACCGGGTGAGTTAGGTGGAGGACGTGAGCAGTGACCACAGCCGTCCTGAGGGAAGACAGCCAGGCCTCCAGCCTCGGTTCCAGTCTGTGGGGCCAGGCCTCTTATCACAGCCCCACCCCCTGCACTTGAGCCTCCCAGGCCACCCTCAACCTTGACCGACCTTGACCGCCTTCCCAGTGCATGATGTGCATGTCTGGGGCTGAGGCGGCACAGACAACTGAGAGTCTGAGTGGCTCACAAACAGTCCTTCTCTCTCAACGGCGGTCCCGTTCAGAAGCCAAGATGGAGAAGGGGCACCCCCTGCACTGCCTGCGTGCGTGCGAACGTGTGTGAAAGCGTGTGTGTGTGCGTGCATGCAGCAGAGGCCCTCGCCTGGAACCCTGTGTTCTCAGTTCTGAAGAACCAGCTACATTTCACCTTCACCGTGGGCCGGGTCCTCCTGTTTCCTGACACTGAGTCAGTTGCCGGGTTGGCCTGACCTTCCTTCGACCTCAACCTGAGTTAGGAGGACAGTGGCCTAGAGCAGGGACCTGAGGCAGGGCTCCGGTCTGAGCTCCCTCCAGCGGTGCTACCTTGCGTAGATGGCCTTGATCTTCGTTGTTTGTGCTTAAGGCGGAGATAGCTGTCTGCTGTCCTGTAGCCCCAGTGTGGGGGGACAGACTTTTCACCTGTGCTCACCCCCAAAGCTGCCCCCTCTTCCCCTTGAACGTGTGTGAAGCTGCAGTCTACGCTGAGCGCCCTACCCGCTCAGCCATTGGCACCCACCATTTGCCGGGGGTGGGGGCCTGAGCATCCGGAGCCCCACCCCCCGATTGCTGGCTGCTTTGGGACCCTGGCCTACAGGCGGCTATAGGGACCCCCTTCCTGGAGTTAGGACAGTGTCCCAGCTGTAGGACTGAGACCCAGCTCTAGGTCACTTCTAGAGGCTTCAGTCCTGAGAGGCTGTCCCCTCCCCCTGTACCAGCCTGTATACTGAGAACATCTCGGGACAGCCCCCTCCCGTCCCGCGGCCAGCCCCCCGCTGCCTTGGAGACACTCACCGAGGGAGCAGTGGGTGTTTTGGCAGGTTTGGCGTGGATGTGCGCCCTGGGGACCACCCATGCCCACAGCGGGGCTCGCAGCAGCCTGCCGGCGGGGGCCAAGCTCATGGTTGTTGGGCCAAGCCACCTGAGTCCAGCGAGGTTCTGTGTGTCTGCTTAGTGTGTCCTCTGCTCAGTTGGGCATTGGGCTTTTTATAGCTCAAGGGGAAGCTGCAGCTGTCCCTTCCTGTCACCAGGCTTGGCAGAAAAGATGCCTGCTTAGAACTGGGACCAGCCTCAGACCACAGCTTCTAGGCACTGTCCTCCTGCTGTGGCACCCGAGGGGCTTTGAGCCCCTCGCAGTGCGGGCAGGCCAGTTGGGGCAGGCGGGCGTAGCCCTCCCTGGAAAAGGCCCTCCCCAATGCGAAGGGCCTCGGGGAAGGAGCAGGACAGGGAAGTCAGGCGTGAGAATGCTGGCCAGGACACTCGATTCAAGAGCAAACTGGGGCATCAGGCTGCTGGCTGGCAGCACCCCGTCCAGCTGCCACGGAGTCTCCAGCTTGGATTTCCAGGCCAAGCCGCTGGTCTCTTTCTGGCCTGGTGCAGCGGCCAGGTTACTCAGCCCTGCCGCCCCAGACGCGGCTCGTGCACGGTGAGTGCGCCACCCCGGAGTCCACACGCATGGCTCCGTCACGTGCAGCCTCTGCTCCTAAGTGGCAGGCGACCCTCACAAGTGCGCCTCGGAGGCACGGAGGTGGGAGCAGGTCAGGGGGTCCTTTCTAAGAGCTAGTTCTCAGCCGGCACACAGGTCCCGCCCCCGGCCACACGTGTGGACAAAGGCGCCCAGGCCAGGATGCACCGGGTCACCTGTCCGCAGGCCGTGGGAGCTCAGAGCGCGCCCCTCCTCTCCTGCTTGTGCCGATGACGAGCTCTCCATCCTTCCCACGGCGAACATTCGTCGGCAGACTTGCTCTCCTGCTCCTGGGGCCTGTTTCACCTCTGTGAACGCCATCAGCCCCCAGTGTTTTAGCCCTGGCTGCTGGTTTCCCTGAGGGGTTCAGCCGAGACCCCCGTCGGACCCCATCCCTGTCCTCGGGAGAGCGGCAGGCCTATCTGTGCCCCCGGACTCTCCTGCCAGAGGCCCGAGGTCACGTCCCCTGCGTCTCCTCCGGCCGTTCTCAACGTGGTCGCTGGATGCTGAGCCCCTGGTTTTCCTCCTGCCTCTTCCAGACTCTGCACGACCTGTCAGAGCCCCATGACCTTTGCACTCTGCACTCACCCTCCACAGGCCTCATCCGGCCTTGACTCCCCAGCTGCTGCTTATCAGTCATAGTATTTGGGGTGCATTGACACTGACCTTTGACCTTTATCCCCACCCGCGGCCCTGCGGCGCGGCCCCCACCCTCTCCCCTCCCAGCTGCTCAGGCCAAGTGTCCGGGCAGCACCCTGCTTTCCCTCTGGTGCACACTACACGTCCAGCTCACGGCCCCCGCCCCCACGGGGACTCGTCCTCACATGGCAGCTGGGACAGCCCCTTCTGCGCAAGCAGGTCACTGCGGCCTCCAGCAGGCTCCAGTCACCCCAGGTCTGCGGCCTGAGGGTCCGACCTGGCCTGCCTCGGCCCCACCTGCTCCCTGCCCTGCAGCCTCAGCCAAGACACCGCTGCACTGCGCCGGCGCTTTGCCCGCACTGCCCGCCCCACTCTTGCCCCTGGTGTCATCTCTTTCAAGCCCCGGTTCCGATGGCGCGTCTCCAGGTCCATCTTGGTGACTGTGCTTTTGTGGCTGGAGCAGAAGCCCCGTGACGAGCGCTTTGTCGTGCTCAACACGGAACCTCTGGGGCCAAGAGCAGAGTCTGGTTGGTGACTTCTGGTCAGTGGTGGACGAGTGGGCAGGGAGTTCGGGGTGGCGTTCCCGTCTTACGCCAGGTCCTGGGGTAGACTGCAGGGAGACGGAGTCTAGTCACACCTGACAGACGACCGCATAGGTGTCAACCCGGGAGCTGAGGAGCAGCTGGACATCTGACCATGTGGGTCCCTAAGACTCAGCTGTGGTCCTACCGTCACCAGGGACACCCGTGCCCCGGGCAGTTGGAAGTGGTGAGTCGCTGCTGCGAGGCCGCTGCGCGAGGGACACGGCGGACTGGTTCCCTGCCGGACACCACACTGTGTGGGCTCCCGGCCTGCACCCCGGGCCCAGGCCCGCCGTGTCCTGCGACTTGGTTTCCAAGGAGGAGCCCAGCCCTTGGAGGCAGCCGTCCCGACCACTGTCCCCAGCAGCGCTGGGTGCCGCCGCCCGCCCAGGCGCCAGCCTGCCCCTCCCCGGCAATCCCTTCCGCCGTGGACTTTAATTACAGCTTTCGGGTCCAGCCCGGGATAAGGCTGTGGATTAGAGGATCGATCACCACCCAGGGAGGCCTCCCTCTTCACCCTCCCCGGCTCAGGAGGGAGGGGCTGGGGGCAGCAGAGTGCCTGCTGCACCCCAGGGGAGCAGCCTTTTCCTCAGCCTTCAGCCCTCCCCAGGTGCTCCCAGGGGCTTTGCGACCTCCCCAACCTTCCCAGGCACAGACCTGCCCTCCTCACCCTGTGTTCACGCGGCTGGGGCCCCACCGCTGGCAGCAGGGAGCTGTGGGCCCACCCCAGTCGGGCCTTGGTCCCAAGAGCCAATCGTTCAAACCAAGCCCTGCGCAGAGCCTGGCCACCCACAGCCCACACCAAGGACACTAGAGGTGGGAGCCTGGTATGGCCCTTCCCATCATCGCCCCAAGGCCACACGAGGCCCCCAGAGCACGGCCCTGTGTCCTGGCTCCCCTGCCCCTCTGGGGTCTGCCATTCCCTGGAAGAAAGGTGGGAGCCTGGTATGGCCCTTCCCATCATGGCCCCAAGGCCACACGAGGCCCCTGCCCCTCTGGGGTCTGCCATTCCCTGGAAGAAAATCATGTGACACATGGAGAAGAGGTGTCAGTCACATTGCACAAGGGAGTGAAAGGCCCTGAGGGTTCAGAGGGAGGATAAGACCCCCTGTGGCACCGAGTGGGCACAGAGCAGGGCCCCAGGGCTCTAGTGGGCAGCGTCCCTGATGCCTGAACCCTTCATCAACCACCCTCAACACACACCACCTATCGCCCTGGACCTGCCTCTCCTGCCCCTGGTGTGTGTGGGGAGAGGGGGCAGCGGCTGTGCGCAGCCTCCCTCACATAGCTGCAATGGCTGGGTGCTCCCTGTGAGCACGTGGCTCCACCCTGTGGCAGTGCTCGGAACCACAGGAGCTTCTAGGGAAGGCGTCAGGGACTGGAAGGCTGAGAACCTCGG